TCTCTTTCTACATTCCCCCTTAAAAGAGTAGTTGAAACATAGTATTGTTGTTTACAGATAAGTTGCGATATCTGCGCCTTCGGCCCAACACATCCTTCTTTTTTTTTTTTTTTTTTTTTTTTTTTTTAACCGCACACATCTTCTTTGCGTTCACCAGCTGTAAACTCTGGTGAATTGCCCTGGTTGTTCACGCATTTCCAGACTTTACTCATGCTCCAAAACGAGTTTTACATGCATCTTTTAGAAAGCAAAGGCACACAATTTTTGTACTCTGAACAGGATGTAATAAACTTGGAGCCCAAATACATTGAACAGGTCTTGCTAACCCTGCTGCATGTAATTGTGACTCACCAAAGAGCATATCTTCCAGGACTGCCTAGTCTTTACCAGACAGAGAAGAAATCTGACCTATAGGAGTTACCCTGCAAGATAAACTACGGAGAACTGGTGAAGAGCTCAAGTGCAGCCTCCTGTTATGACCCCTGTTGAGAAGGTCTTGAGGCACGGTGTCCACTTCGAGTGCTAGAGATTCTGGGTTCAATCCCTGGTGAGGGCTGGGATTTTTTTCATAAGCCATAAGACTGTTTTTCTTTAACTAACTTATATGGAATGCCAGGTCAAAGGTAGAAGTTAACAAGAGACATGAGTAGGTTAGCATATCACATCGCTTCTAGTAATTCCTCCTGGTCTCTGGGTAGTGAGATCGGACACCCATGTGCATTGTTGCACACGTAAAAAATCCTTTGGCGGTTGGAAATCAAAAAGAGTAGCCTAATGGCGCTGCCCGGACAAAAATTTGGAGTTAAAGTTCTACCCAAAATATTTCAGGATCCTTGCCGGTGCTACAGAGCCTGTGCACTGTGCTGAGCTTCTTCAGACTCAGACTTAAGTTAGAAGAAAGAACTTAGCACTTATGGGTTACTACCCATGTACCATGATGTTGATTCGTTGTTCAAACCTCAAACCCCTATTGAATGATCTTATCACAAACATCAGAAACAATCAGAAAAAGAGACATAGAAAGACAGCGTGAGAAAATTTTTTACAGGTTTTTGTCATGGCATGGAGGGGTGTCAACACCCAAACTGATACACTGAGCTGCGGATCACATAATGTGAAGAGGCATGATCGCCTATGTCAGTCGGCAAGGTACTTGACAATAATGATGGTGATTGAATGATTAAGAAGAAAATAACTCTTCCATTTTGGAGAACAAAGAATAAACCCATTGCCTCCCAAACTTTCATGTCATAGAAGGTGACTAGTGAGGGGTGTTTCTTTCACAGTCAGTGCATCTGATTGAGAGGCAAGGAACCAACAATCTGCATACAAATATTCCAAATCAGTAAAATGGAATTTCATGCAAAACTCAAGTTCTGGATCGAGACCAAAGTCCAGCAATGGACAAACAAAACTTTCCACCAGAGTTTACAGATGATGAACACAAAAAAAGAAGAATAACAAAATCCAGAAGTGGATGAACAACCAGAACTTTCTGCCAGAGTTTACAGCTTGTGAACTCTGAAAAATAGAAGACTGATAGGAAGACTGTCCAGATTATGCCATTTTGCTAAGTCATACAAGCATTTATCCCTTTGTTAACCATTGTCTAGTTGTCCTAGTCCTCACGGGGTGAGGGGTGTGTTTCTCCTTATGTAAAAGGTGACCAATTAAGGTTAAGGGCTAGTTGAAAGCATATGTGTTTGGCGACGTATGTGCAGATATATAGCCGCTTAGCTAAAAATGCATAAGGTAGCTGTCAGATGTGCAGACAGTAACATTTCCATGCTAGAATTGCAGCTCATTGTTGATGCAAGAGGCCGGTCGTGAAATCTGGCATTGCACCAGCAAAAGTAAATGCTATTTTTAACATAATCGGCCACCTGCCATTTTAGTGCAGTCTACAAACATGGATACAGCCTGTAAGATATGACACTGCTAGGTATACTCTCTAAGTACACAACACATTTTATTAGCATCTGAGGTGACAATGGTGTAACAGGGGTTCCTTACATTTATTAAAAAACAGGCAAACTACAGAGTTTCACCAAACACTAGTCTTTAAATCTTTCAATAAATCTTGAAGTTTGCATCCTGTTCACACAAAACGATACAAATTAAAACTGTTTCTATTCTGAGATCCAAACTGGTATTTCAATGACCATATTTTCAAAACAGTACACGGTCTATTGCTTTTCACAGACCAGTGGTCTGACCTTCACGGTTTAATGACTGTGCTGAAATCTTTTAATACATAAATTCCCTTTTCTTTAAAAAAAAATTGACTAGATATTATTTTTTAAAAACTTTGTATGTGATTTAATAGTTATATTTCATCATCATCATCAAGTGGCTTCCTGACTGGCTTGTGCAATCATGCCTCTCCTCAATCTGCAATCTTTGACAGCATATATCAGGGCTATTCAACTGGCGGCCTGTGGAGACCTAGGAAGTGGCCCATGGATTATTGCCAGTTGTGTATTAATGATCTTTCTATGCTAAGGTTTAGCCCTCTGGCCCGTGACAATCCTCATTTTCCAAATTTTGGCCCCTCTGTAAACTTAGTGAATAGCCCTGGCATATATGTTTGTGTGCTGACACCCCTCCATACTATGACAAAAGGCTGTCAGTCTTCATTCGTTGTCTTGCTCTATCTGCTTTTTCCACAGATCTTTCCAATGGCCACATCATATTCTAGTTTCCTTCTTATAACATGACCAAAACATTATGACTGTCTCTTTCTGATGTTTGTGATAGGTTGTCTTCGAGCACTGGCCTCTTTATGATTCTTCTGTAAAATCATATCTCTGAGGCCTCAAGAAATTATTTGGTTTCTTGTTTAATTGTTCAGGATTGACAGCCATATATTAAAACTAGTTCTGTTTCCTCTTTTGCTTTCTAACCCTCAGTAGAGCATAGGCCCTCAACCAACTCAGGCCAAGTTGTTCTTTCCTCTGCTATCACATGCAGCCCTCCCCATCTTTTTTAACTTCACTCTATAACTTCCTTCTCCATGTTTTTCAGTCTTCCTTTATTTCTATACCCCTGTGGGTTCCAGTGCAAAGACATTCAGCTCTGTATGGCACGTGATAATATTGTTTCTTCCAATGTCCAATGACAGGGATTTTTTGTTTTAAAATGTTTTTTTATGTTGTTGTTGTTGTACAACAACAATAACAACTTCCCGGGACTGCACCCGGTACCCACTCAGGGCTGGGTCCACCAGGAAGCCAAGGTCATTTGTGAAAAAAGTTGGGCTCTGTCAGTGAGCAAACCTAAGACCTTCCGATCCGCAGCGAGCGTTCTCCACTTGTATGTCTTCCTGTATCTGTCTGCAGTTTTGATTCCAGTATACAGACATTCTAGTTAAACTATAATTAGGTTTTACAGAGTTTGTCTTATCCAGCACCAGTGACTTTTCCTCATATCTTTGTCCACTGGAATTAGTTTGTCTCCTTGAGATCCACATTGGTGATTCTGTTTAATTCGTTCTGTTGTGCCTATGCTAGAGTTAATGAAGATTTGTACTTTATTATTGATTTGTTCTCCATGTTTCTACTCCATGCAGTAGTACTGATTTGACGTCAGAGTTTAATATTCTAAATGTGTTACTCAAACACAGTATGCAAAGAGTTAAACACATTTGTATGCCTTCATTAAAATGGAATGAAAGAAAACGTCATCAGAACCGTTGAAGAAATACATGAGAGGGTCACTTGTGCAGGTTCTCATCTGCTTTGTAATGCCAAAAAGTTTTTTTTTTTTTTTAAATATGAATTCACAGCAGGGAAAAGTGAATAATAATGAAGTTGGAAGCAGAAAGTTTGAAGTGGCTTCTTGGGGTCTGAGTTTAAATATATATTTAGCTGTGGCATGACAATTAACATGGCTATTGTGCAGATGTCAAGGTATGACATTCAAGATTATGCCTCTTTGGCATTCATAAAATTGCTCTTAGAGGTAGGGCCATTGGCTGTTTATGGGACAAGTGTCTGATATTTTTGGTTAGCATAATTTGTAGGCCTGGCTGTCCTAGACAGCTGCAGGTCAGCTTGCCATTTGTCTTGTTGGTCTGCCTATCTGTCTCTCTTCCTGCCTGACTACCTTTGTACCAGCCAACCTATCTATATATCTACCAGTCTGTATATCTACCTACCTTTTTAGTAACCTGCCTATCTATATATCTACTTACCCCTATGCAGATGTCTTTCTGTATGTCTATGTATTTATCTACTCAGGGGCGTATATTTTGTGTGTATGACTATTTACCTTTCTTCTGTCTGTCTCATTGTGTGAAGTTTTACTATTCTGTGTGTGCTAGCAGTTTTTTTACTTTGATTGAATGGTTCCATTGTGGTTTCAGCTTGATGTTTAACTTGTTTTTTTTTTTTTAAGTTGATTGTTCGTTTAGCGGTTTTGTTATTTTATCTTTAACTAGTTGCTTCAAGTGTGTTTGCATAGTTATCTGGTCTTCATTATTCGGTTGGTTGAACTGTGCATAGTTGTTTACCTGGTTATTTTACTTAAAGTTGATTGGCTGATTTGCTGTTTGTTTGATTGGTTGACTGGTTGGTTCATTATAAGTTGATTGTTTACCTGGTTTTCTTTAAATGGTGGTCCAAAGGATGTTATGTTGAGAAGCTCACTCTCCTACGAAATACGCCTGGCCAAATCAGAAGGAGCTGAAACCAAGGAGGAAACATCAGAAATGAAAGGACAAGAAGAATACAGTTGACAACAGGATAGGGAACGAGCGGTCTGACTTGGAGAAAGGCAGCATTAAACCCAGACACCGCGCAAATACCAGAACTTTAGTCATGAAACCACAAATATAGATGGAGACTGTTAGCAGCCTCAGCTAGCCAACAGCAGTCTGAAAGTGGTCGAATTGTTTGTTGCTCAAAAGGAATCAGAATCAGATTTTTTTTTTTTTTTTTTTTTTTGAGCTGCTGTTATTTGATCACAACATTTTATTGAAACTGGCCATTTTGTGTTTTCAGGTCCCTACTACTGTGGTGTTGGAGCTAACAAAGTCTACGGGCGAGACATTGTGGAGGCTCACTACAGAGCATGCTTGTATGCTGGTGTGACCATTAGCGGCTGCAATGCTGAAGTCATGCCTGCTCAGGTATGGCCCAGTTTCTTTTACTTTTCTACTGTGACGATGTCTTATTTGTGATGAGAGTGAAAGAGGGAGAAAGTAAAGATGAAATATTGAATCCATAACGATCTAAGTGCCCTGACTGACATTTAAAACACAGTGCCCTTCCCCCCCCCCCCCCCCCCCCCCCCCCCCCATCCACACCACTACTACACAATTTGTTTCTAGACAACAGGGAAGGGCGTTCAAGGGGCCTGATCCTAATTTACAAGTATAACAATAATACAGTGCTGAATGAAAAATAAATATAATAAATTGGAAATGAAATGAATGAACAAATACTTTTAAAAAGCATTTAGTATTTAGTTAACAGGGCGGGACAGTTTAATTTAATTTCCTTACAGAATTAGGGGGGGGGGGGGAGGGGAGGGGGGCAAGTTTCACTGCTTTACTAGTCACTCTTTGGGGTTTGGTCCTGTAACAGACAAATGGATTTTCAAATTTTAAATTATATTCTCTGCCCATTATTATTTGTTCTCCTGAACCACTTTGGTAAAATGTGGCGTAGTAATTATGCTACTGAGACTTCATATTTCCCCATGTGGGTTCCTATGAAAGGACATTCTAGAGATAATCATCATATTTTGTCCTTGTGTCTAATCATACTTGACCTCTTGTCATTGTATTGTTTATAGTGGGAGTTCCAGGTGGGTCCTTGTGAAGGTATTACCATGGGCGATCACCTATGGATTGCCAGGTATCTCCTTCATCGTGTCTCTGAGGAGTTTGGCATCGTAGTGACCCTTGACCCCAAACCAATGGAAGGTGACTGGAATGGGGCTGGTGCTCATTGCAACTACAGCACAAAGGAGATGAGGGAGCCAGGTGGCATTAAGTATGTTTTGTTTAATACCAATATTATGTTTGGTCTGTTACTGTACTCGAGTTGGTCGATGTATGGAGAGATAGCTGAATGGGGTTATCAGTGGATAGGTGGGTGAATGAATAAATAGATACATAGATGAATGGGTGGGTTGGTGAAAGGGTAGGTAGAAAGATACTTACACAGAGGGAAAGGTGAATTGGTAGATTGATATCCAGATGGATGAATAAGTAAGTGAATGGGTAGATGGAAGAATAAGTGAGTGAATTAATAGATGGATATCCAAATATTAGATGAATGAGTGAGTGAATGGATGGATGGTTATCCAGGAAGATGTATGGGTATGTAAATTGGTAAGTGGATACTCAGATACATGAATAGATTGGTAGATCGATGCCCACATGGATGAAAGGGTGTGTGAGTGGATACCCAAGTGGGTGCTTGTGTGGGGGAGGGGCTTTGATAGATGGATGGATGAATGAAACTGACAAATAGAAAAAACCTTTTTCAAATTATTTAATAGAACAGTGATGGTGTAAAAGCTGGGGTGGAAAAAAGGCACTGGTCTCTCATATCTAGCAATAAAGCTTTCTTTTTATAAGCATTTCTTGTCTGTCATTCTGGCTGACTCCCCGTGTGGGTTCCCATGCCCTATTATAGGGAAACAAGAATAGACCCACTATCTACCCAAAAGGATGTCGTAAGAGTCAACTGATTGGGAGCTTCCTTCGAAGTCGAAGTGCGTCTGCCTGAGAAGCAAGGAAACAGCAGTCTGCATACAGATGAGTCAGATCTGTAAAACGGATGCACACACAACACTCAGGTTCTGGAACAGAACTGCAGTTCAGAAGTGGATGAACAACCAGAACTTTCCGCCGGAGTTTACAGCTGGTGGGCGTGAAGAAGAAAAAGGTTCTAGCTGATGATCTTAACTAAAAATTATTTGTGGAGTAAGGCTTCATTCCGGTGACTAGACAAATTGTGATGCATCAAAGGAAACCATTCACATTTCAGTTGTATTTTTTTTTTGGCTTCCTTTTATGTTGATGTAATTCTGTAGCAGCACACCTGACGAGATGCAGCGAAATATGCCTGGCAATAAATTGTGCAATGTATTGTTTGTGTCCGCAGTATTTAAATTCATTACAGGAAAACATTGTTTTCAATAGATCTTATTTCTCAGGAAACACCGTACACAAGACAAAAATGTGTGGATAGACATGACTACCAACACCACGCAGCATAGACTATAAGAATAAGAAGAAAGATTCTGACAAAATTCTTTTCAGTTAACAGGTATATGTCCAAACCTTGAAATTTTAACATTTGTTTACATTTTCAGGGCTATAGAAGAAGCAATTGAGAAACTCTCGAAGAAGCATGCTCTCCATATAAAGGCTTACGATCCCCGTGAAGGCAAGGACAATGAGCGGCGTCTAACTGGCCACCATGAAACTTCTAGCATTCACGATTTCTCAGCCGGTGTTGCCAACCGGGGAGCTAGTATAAGAATCCCTCGCCAGGTATGCTAAATAAAATGTAGTCTTTGCTTCTTCTTCTACCTTTCTAACCCCTAATGGTGCAAAGACATTCTGGTTATATTGTTCTCACCTAGGAAAACCTCAAGAATTGGCACCTGATAAGAAGTGCCAGAACTTTCTTTAGGCTTCATTTGTTCAGCACCGCTGTAAAAGATGCTTTGTTATGTGTACCGACACCTTTTTTTTTATTTTCTAGAAAAAAAGCACAGCTAATGAACTAGACACTTTTCTGCTGGACCAGAAATTATGGGTATGAAAGTGCAACGGCAGATTTTCTATGAATAACCTTGACTTCCAGGTTGACCCCCCGTCTCAAATGGGTACTGGGATATGTCCTGGAAAATGACAGTTACTGTCCTGATGACCATGTTCCCCCACTGAGTGCCAGTTCTGCAGTAAAAACTTGGGTCAGAAAACATATGATCCATCCTTATCTGCATAGGATTGCAAGTTTCACTGGGCTTCTGTAGCTCGTAAGGACCCCTTTGTAAGCCTTCAGGCGTATTTGGCATATAGGGCTTGACCTATATTTTATAAACCAATGGTTTCAATGGACCAAGAATGGTTCAACCGTCTAGTCAGAATTCAGCCAGACCAAACTGCATTTACTTTACAGCAGAACATCTTGGAGGAAGGTGAGAGGAAGACCAAGAAAGAGATGGATAAATGGTATAGCTGAAACCTGCAAAAAGATGAACAAATTTTTCTCCCAGGTGACCCGAGAAGTGCAAGAAAAATACAGAAAAACTACTACAAATAGGCACAAATAGATCATTGCATTCTGAGGAGAATACTGCTACGAGTAGTGACTAGAGGATCTGGCTGACGCTCAAAACTCAGGGAAAGGGCAAGACGGATATTGCAGTCAGACTGTTACTGTTACCATCAAAGTTAAGAACTCTGTGCTTGCTGCTGAAGATGGGGACAGAGCCCTTATGGGAATGACCAGAGTGCTGTGATGTTGATTCTTGATTAACACTGCCATCTCCACAATGACTTTGTTGTTACTTCTGGCCTCTTTTCCTTCCTCACCCTGGTGGTGCATGATAGTCTGCTGTTTGCCCATTTCTGATTGTTGCCCTTTCATGATCGCCTCTGTCTGTGCTGACCTTGGTTGTTCTTTCCCTACAAATGTGTCTTATAACTGTTAATTTTTCGTGATGTTTCTTTTTTTTCTTGTCTTTTTTCTCTCCCCTTTTTTTTTAACCTTTGAATTCCCAATTATCTTCTTCTTTTTCTTTTTCCCCCCGCTTGAAATAGACTATATATATATATATGTATATGTATATATATATATATATATATATATATATATATATATATATATATATATATATATATATATATATATATATATATATATATATATATATATATATATATATATATATATATATATATATATATATATATATATATATATATATATATATATATATATATATATATATATATATATATATATATATATATATATATATATATATATATATATATGTATATATATATATATATATATGTATATATATATATATATGTATATATATATATATATATATATATGTATATATATATATATATATGTATATATATATGTATATATGTATATATATATGTATATATATATGTATATATACCTGCAATTTTGTCTCTAGTATGACCTTAACTGTCTTTTCTAATACACTTAGCAACTTATAAAGTTTGGCTTCCTCCTGTGTTTCTCTTGGCCAGAAGTTTTGCTTTGATATGCTGTATTTGTGAGAGTCTTGGAGGACATGATCTGTTGTCCTAGGTGCCGGTTCACATGTGTATATTGCTGATTTACCAATCTTAAATTCTGTATACATGTGGCTGTGAAGTCGACTGTGCTCTGTTCCCAGTTAAATGTGGACTTTCTTCTTTTTTTGTTTTTGTTTCCAAGCAAATTTTTGCCCCTCTAAATGCAACTTTTGTTATTATTTCTCAGGAGTGTTCTTCTTCACTGAGAGTTAGTTCTTGTTAAATATTCATATATCCTGCTTTATAATTCTCTAGGGTTGTCTAGCCCAAATGCTTTTCATTGTCTTGAGATCATTGACTTAAAATCGTATATTTACTTGGTGTTTTCTGTTGCTGCTCACATTTCTTTCACTTTGGACAGTGGTGTTGTACTGTGTTACTGCTCCTTACATTTAGCACAATCTGGTTCATCTGAAATATGAACAGTGACAAATTGTTTCTTTTCAGGTTGCTGAGGACGGCTTTGGATATCTGGAGGATAGGAGACCTTCCTCCAACTGTGACCCATATTCAGTAACTGAGGTGATAGTCAGGACTACTATCTTAGGAGAGTAGAAGCAGCGTCAAGCAGCACCCAAATCATTTTTTGAAAATGTATTAGCAGTTTATAAGAATATATATATAATTTGTTTCATGTACTTGGTTTATCAATTATTTTCATAGTTTTGTGTTTGCTGTTTCAATGAAAAGCTATCTCTGAATGGATGAATTGGGCAGTTCAGTAATGTTAGCAAATTTTGAATCTAATTTCTTCATAGAAAAAAATAAATTTATGATTATTCAACAATGAATAAAGAATGATTGTATTATGTTTCAGCTAAATTATTTAAGACTTTATAGAAAATGTTTTTCTGAAGCCTTTCCAATGTACACATTTCCTTAAAGAAATAATTTCACACTGCCTGTGTTTTTTTGACTAACCTCTACAAGCAATTTACAGAATTCACGACTGATGGCTCATGCTTTACACACAATTCACGACTGATGGCTCATGCCTAACCACTCAACCACAAATGTACCAGTATATTACATCTTCATAACACTGATTACAAATATAGTAGGGTTATCTAAGCACATGGTAATCTTAGTTTTGCCACATATGCACCCCTGTGTATTTTTCATGTTTTCTTCGAAAATTTTCATTCACTTAGCTTACGTCAAATGTATCATTTTCATTAGTTCTGTAGACATTTCATAGTTTTACAGATGTTTTTTCAAATAAATCTGAACTATGCATTGCTGAGATGTATAAGCATGTAGGTGGAGAGGACAAATGCTTGAATTGTTATTTACACATTTCCCAACTTCATTGTTGTTTTCAAAATAAAGTTAACTTTTTTCACTATTTTGCTTGTGTTTAAAGATTTAAATTTAAAAAAAAAAAGATACATCATATTTTTCCTTTTTTTTTTTTAATTCACCCTTCTTCCTTTGTTTTTTAAAAAAAACACTCATATTCATTATGCATATTTTTATATAAACATAACATGCTTTGTTGAAAACATACAGTTGTGGTCAGAAAGATGATTGTTTGAAAGGGCCGAAATTAAGCCGGGTTTTCTTACCCTATTTGTAACCCTTTGAAAATGTAGTTCGTTCGTTTGTTCCTCATTCTTTCTTTCTTTCTAATTTCTTTTAAACCTGAGATACACAACAGGAGAAATAATCACAACAGAAAATAAAAATCAGAAATTTTAGATTGCAACAAATGACAGACTTAGAAGATGTAAATGTTAATTCAATGAGCTGTGTTGGATACTTCCATTATCAAAATACTCGAACTTCCTGTCTGGCGTCCATCCCCTTTGAGTGGGGGGGGGGGGGGGGGGCGGAGAGGACTAGACCAGAGACATTTAACTGAATTTACTCAGGGGCCGGAATATTGTAAAATGGGCCTTGTCACGGGCCATAGGCGCAAGTCCCAGCAGAGAAAGATAATTAATTTAATACAATTATCTGGTGATCTGTGGGCCACTTCCTAGGTCTCCGAGGGCCAGATTTGGCCCAGCGCCCACCAGTTGAAAAGGCCTGCACTAGACCAACCCCCAGCCAGTCCCTCAACAAATAAAACACAAAAAGCGATTTTTTTTTAGTGTATCCTTTGAAGTCAGAGTGCTCTGCAGAAGTGGATGAACAGCCAGAACTTTCCATCATAGTTTACAGCCAGTGATTGCGAAAAAGAAGGAAATACTCAAACAGTATCAGTGTTCAGATACCAACAGATGAGATCAAACTTTCTCATGCTTCACAGTTTAAGTAATCACATAGAATTTCATGGCTTTGTCACTATTTATTTACTTTAATGCTTTATTACACTTTCAAATTTTTAAAAACTAAACCAACTTCCAAGCTGGTTAGTTCAACGTTAGTCTCCCCAGTTCTGCCTATACACACACTAGCTCACTTCTGATTGGTAGTTTCTGAGCCCTGTGGCTTATGCATACTGTTACAGAGGTGTTCCCCAATGCCATTGATATCTGTGTTGTATATTTCAGCATGCCAGCGCTTTTAACACTCTAAAAACATGAAAAAACTTGTGTCTAACAATCTCCCTAGAGAGTGCTGCAACCTATGTTACAGGCATTCTCTTTCTCGGAATGAAAATGTAAATGCAAGACATTGCAGAAACCAAACAACAGATTGGGACACACCTGTAACCTTCAGGAAAGTTGACCAGCCCAACAAACTTGTGAATAAACAGTGACCTTCTCTATTTGGGGAGACTAACGTTGAACTAACCTCCAAGTTTATTCAATAATAATACGCTAGTGTGTTTCAAAACTTATGCCATCACACTTTTCCAAATTCAAGTTGAATTTTTGCCATGTTTTTATGATTCTGTGCGAGTCACCAACGTGGAGCGGCTAGACGCTCGCCGCAGATCGGAAATTCGTGTGTTCGCTCCCTGGCGGAGCCGGACTTTTTTCAAAAATGACCTTGGCTCCCATGTAGACCCAGCCTTGAGTGGGTACTGGGTGCAGTCCTGAAAAGTTAAGGTGGCTGGCATGATATTGACCACTTATGTATTAACAAAAAGTTTAGATCATCCCTTTTACGATGTTAGGGCTTTCAGAGGTGTCGATGTATTTACTGACCATTTCCTGGTGATAAGTAAAATCAAGTTGAAACTAAAAAGATATATAACATCTTATAATCATAGAAACCAATATAATGTAGGCTTTCTCAGAGATAAAGAAATTAAGGAAAAGTTCTCAGTTACGGTCTCTAATAAGTACCAGGTGTTGCAGCAGTTAGCTGAAGATGTCAACACAGAAGTCTGCTGGGATCAGATCAAAGGAATCTGGAATGAATCTTGCGTAGAAGTTCTTGGCAAGAAAGAAAGGAAACATAAAGCATGGATAACACCAGAAACCATTAAACTATTGAAGATAGGAAAAGTAAAAAGGCAGAATTAAACAATAGCAAAACTAGAGCTGCTAAAGCTAGAGCTCAGGAGAATTACACAGAAGCCAACAAGGAAGTTAGGAGGCATATAAGGGCAGATAAAGTGAAATATCTAAATGATCTAGCACAAGAAGCAGAGACAGCAGCAGCAAAAGGAAACCTCAGAGAACTTTACAGTAACACAAGAAAATTAGTAGGTAAATATAGTCAGCCAACTGGATCAATTAAAAATAGTCAGGGAAAGGTACTCACTAACACTAAAGATCAAATGGACGGATGGGTTGAATATTTTGAAATGCTTCTAAATAGACCAGGCCCAGAGGTTCCCCCAGATATCCAGCCTTTAGAAATGTAACTGGATATCAACTGTGAGATACCATCCAAAGAGGAAATTAGGAAAGCTATAAATCTTCTTAAGGAAGGAAAGGCGTCAGGCCCAGATGGTATCCCAGCTGAAGCCATCAGGACCAACATAAAACACATCAACAGAATTGCTACATAGATTATTCAGTAAAGTCTGGGAGACCGAAGAAATACCAGCAGACTGGAGAGAAGGATATCTTGTGAAACTGCCCAAAAAAGGTGATCTACAGGAGTGTGAAAACTATAGAGGAATTATGTTGCTGTCAGTTCCTGGAAAAATATTAAGTAGAATTATTTTGGAAAGATTAAAAGATGCTATTGATAAAATGCTTAAGAGATGAGCAGGTAGGTTTTCGGTCAAACAGATCCTGTACTGACCAGATAGCCACATTATGTATTATAATAGAGCAAAGCATTGAACTGAACACACCACTTTACATTGGATTTATAGACTATGAAAAATCATTTGACAGCATTGATAGTGAATCTCTCTGGAAATTGATGGGGCACTATGGAATCCCACAGAAAATTATCAACTTAGTAAAGGCAACATATAAAGACATGAAATGTCGAGTTCTTCATGAGGGAAAGCTAACAGATGCATTTGAAATAAAAACAGGTGTGCGACAGGGATGTCTTTTGTCGCCTCTCTTATTTTTACTGGCTATAGACTGGACTATGAAAACAGTAACTGCTAACACCAAGAATGGAATTCAGTGGACCCCTACAAAACAGCTTGATGATCTGGACTTCGCTGATGATATTGCTCTTCTGTCCCATTCACGGAATCAGATACATGATAAATTAAATATACTTAATGCGAGATCACAGCAGCTTGGTCTGAAAATCCATAAAGGAAAGACAAAGATAATGAGAATAAATCAGGCAAATAGTAATGTGGTTTCTCTTAATGGAACCCCACTCCAAGACGTGGAGTCGTACACCTATTTAGGCAGTAATGTAGATAAAGATGGAGGAACTGATAGAGATATTAAAATAAGAATACAAAAGGCAAGAGGGGTTTTCATAGCACTAGGGAATTTGTGGAGGTCAACAGAAATTAAAAGAAATACTAAACTAAAAATTTTTAATTCAAATGTCAAATCAGTACTATTGTATGGGGCGGAAACATGGAGAACAACGAAGGCAATTACTAATAAATTACAGACATTCATTAACTGGTGCCTGCGCAGAACAGAGGGAATAAAATGGTATGATAGAATAACTAATGTAGAACTTTGGGAGAGAACTAAACAGGCTCCAGTGGATCAGGAGGTGAGGAAAAGACGCTGGCGTTGGATAGGGCACACACTGAGAAAACAGGAGAACAGCATAACTAGAATGTCTTTGCATTGGAACCCACAGGGGCATAGGAATAAAGGAAGGCCAAAAAACACATGGAGAAGAGAGCTGGAGAATGAGGTTAGAAAGATTGGGAGGACATGGGGAGAGCTCCATGCAATGGCGAAGGATAGAACGACTTGGTGTGAGTTGGTTGAGGGCCTATGCTCCATTGGGGGATAGAAAGGCAGAAGAAGAAGAATGATACTGACCACATCACCCATCTTGTGCAGATTGATCTTTAAAAATATAGGTCTAGCCCTATACACCTAAAGGCATGGAAAGGGGTCCTTTAGTTTTACAATTGTGCAGACGTTTCCTTGAAGCAGCACATTTCTTTGACCTTTATTTGGCTAATAATTTCTAAACCCTTGAAAAATAGAATATACAGTAATTAATACAATTTATTATTTGAAAATAGTTCACATGTGCAGCAATGCGTGGTA